ATTTATAAGAGTCATCCTGAGAAGCTAGCGCCGCCGAATAGCGAGGCTCCCACACCCTCTCCAGGCTGCGGGGCTGCTGGCGCTGGACCAGAGAGCTAGTGTCGGACCAGAGAAGCCAGCGCCGCCAAATAGCGAAGCTCCCACACCATCGCCGGGCTGCGGGGCTGCTAGCATCGGACCTGTGGGCTAACACCACTGGATAGCAAGGCTGTTCCATCGCCAGACCCGGGAACTGCTGCTGCCACCAGGCCCTGGAGTTARGTGAGTCATGCCGAAACATGGGCAAGGAAGATTAGAGTCGGTGGAAGGTAACTCAGACAGCATGGATGAGGTTAAACGATCCTTGAACTTCATTAGTGCAGAACTGACAAGATTGGCATCACAGCAAGAACTTCTGATCAGTTTGGTCGAAGAAGTGAAGSTGCTGAAAGTTCTGTTAAGTGAGAAAGACAAAAAGATGACTGAACTGGAACAAAATATAGATGATATGGAACAAAATACAAAARGAGACYATCTGGTAATTTCTGGACTTGATGTTAAACATCGGACTTATGCAAGAGTAGCAGCTAATATAAATYCCACAGAAGATTCTCCACAAGAAGAACTGCTTACTCTGGAACAACAGGTTGTAACTTTTTTACTGAACAAAGACACTGATCTGTCACACCTTGCCTTCTAAWTRWGATAAGTTTAAACCATCCATTGTAATCAGGTTCATCAGTCYAAAATCAAGAAATRATGTATTAATGCAAGCAAGAAAACTGAAGGGAACTAACGTTTACATAAATGAACATCTAACAAAAAARGGAAACATCACACGGGAGGCAACGTTGCTAAAAAAAGAATAAAATAGCTGCAACATGGACACGGAATGGAAACATTTGGGTTAAAATAAAGGAAGGAACACAGGCCAGATTAGTAAAAGAACTTAGAGAGTTAGAAGGATTCAGATGAGCTAAAGATGGGACAAACCATAAACTTTTAACAGTTAAAACGACTTGGCAAAAAGAATTATTTACAATACAAATGAACAAATGGATACAAACTAAAATATGAATACATATAAAGACTCAGAGACTAAAATATACAATTTTGATGATATAATTGATTCNGTATAACTCAGGTACAGGCAGTGGCCCGTGAAGGTGTGTGTGCAAAGTGTGACAGGGGAAAAAATGATCAGGACAGGTTTCTGTGACCTGCTATATCTTCTCTTCCATTCAAAAGATAAATAGATCTATAGATTATAAATACACACACACATTTGTTTTTATATCCCTGCGGGAAATGTAGATTGACTTCCWTTCATTTTCTGGTAATTTTACAGCCTAACCCTAACCATTTACCCTAAAATTAACCTCACAGGTACCTACCTGGCCTAAAKCTAGCCTAAACTCAATTCARACCTTAGTCCTAAATCTAACCACCRACCTGAAATTASCATCTGTACTCGTGGGGACCAATGCCCCACACTGCACATTGCATCCCCACGAGGCAGTCTTTTTCTGGAAAATGTTTCCCATGATGTAGCAAAAACATGCCCACAAAACACATACATGCACACACACATTTATATTTCTACTTTTGTTGGGACATTATACTGGCTTTTATTTGTTTTTGTAGCCTAACCCTCAGACCCAGTCTTTACTGGCCCATGTATAACTCTAATCTAAATTCCATTACGACCAGTCTTTGGTCCACAACTGGTCCTGACAAAGCAGGTGTTTACAACAGAAAAGGTCCTAAAAAGATAACAAAAAGCAGATCAAGGCACATAAGAAGGTACAGTATGTTGAGTCTTTTTGTTGGACAGATATTTTTCCAAATGTAACCTCGAAGCTCAAATACCTGATCGTTGGGTTAGGCCTTACAGACATAAAGCTGTTGGAGTTCATTCCATCTGTCAGATATTTGCCACTGGGTAGGTGAGTTTGTGTGTGTGTGTGTGTGTTGGTGTGTAAGGGGAGCCAATGACAAATGAGGGTAAATAACAGAGTGGTGGTGGGGTGCAGCTGCCAAACTCCTGTCCTGGAGACAAAAAGAAAGTGAGGGTTGGCAGAGCGGGCAGGACAGGAGGGTGTGGTGGCCYTGGGACCGCTCAGCACGTGGTGCAGCCTGGCCCCCTGTGCTCTTATTGGCTGCTGCGCTCTAACAGACATGTTCATCCCCCCAACACACACACCCACAGCTCCCATGGTCTGTGTACCACACGTGCGCGCGCTTGTGTGTGAGGAAGCCAACAGACTGAAGCGAGCTGCGGAGGCAGACTCTAACTTCAACTCCAATGAGCTCACAGCCCTCACATACCCACACTCACACACACTCTCTCTCTTCAATCTGAGGACACGAGGAGGAGGGAAGAGACCGAGAGGCAGAGAAGAGAGAGGGGAGAGAAGCAGGGGGAGACTGGATCAACCATGGCTTCAGATCCGGGGCTGGCTGCGATGCTGCTGTGGACTGTATCGCTCCAGACTGTGGGCAGRGCCGGAACCAGCAACAACCAAGGTAAGACCCAGAACCTGCTCTGTGAGGGCTGTGGGAATAGAAACTTCAGAGCATCTTCACATACACTGTGGACTGATATGGGCTCTTCTCTGAACAACTTCAGGTCTGATAATGTATGTGTGTGTGTGTGTGTGTGTGTGTGTGTGTGTGTGTGTGTGTGTGCGTGCGTGCGTGCGTGCGTGCGTGCGCGCTCGCGGGAGAGCCGGTTCTTCACACTGACCCTGTTGGGTCCTGACATGACAGCTCCTCTTCCTCTCCAAGAACCTGTTAGGTTCTATAGTCTGCTACGTTCTGGTCTCAGGTGTCGTTTTGTCTCACACACTGAAGGGTCTGTTTACCATCATCATCCTGACATGGTCTGGTCTCAGGCTGGTCTAATTCTCAGTCTGGTCTTAGTCTGATCTTGGTCTGGTCTGAATCTGGTCTTGGTCTGATCTTGGTCTGGTCTGAATCTGGTTTTGGTCTGGTCTCGGTCTGGTCCCTGGATGTAGCTTGTGCTCGGCCCCTGATGGGAACATGCACTTTCAGCTGCTGCAGGTGAATATGAGCAGCAGAACCAGATCAGAAATCAGACAGAGACCAGGTTTTTGGTTCAGGTGGATCCAMTCTCTTGGTTCTGAGTTAAACTCAGAAAGAGAAATGATCAAATTATGACTTTTTTTTATTCTCCTCAMGTTTCAACATCCGTTTTTTGACTCTTCAGTCAGATGTCCTGCTTCTTTACTTCTTCTGTCTTCACTGGTTCAAGTAAAAAACTTTCAGTTTAAATTCATATAACGCAGATAAATGGAGTGCTCTATATTTATATCCATTTATGTCTGAAAGCAAAAATGATGCTGGGAATCACAGTTTCTGCTTTTTTCTAGTTTGTACAGAAAGTTTTATTTTTATTGTTATTTTCAAATAGACGTATAAAGATTTAGTCAAATTAGATCCAGAATAGACCTGTTTGGGATTAATTTGGTCATTTTAGTTTCAATAAAATTCCACAAATATTGAAAAAGTTGCAACCTCTGAAATTCAACTTTTTATGACTAAAGGGATAATCATAGTTCTCCAAATGAATAAGATTTAATTTAATTAACATTCCAACAGAAAATAAAATCTTAATAGAAATGTTTTGAAACATATTTCATCTCGGCTCACGTTTGTTTGTGATCCTACAAAAAGCTTTGAAAAAAGTTTAAAATTTCACAATAAATAAACTAATTGTTATAAAACATGTTTCTTCTTGGTTGCTGAGCTGCTGATGTGTAATAAAAATACAAACTGAGACCCTACAGTTGTTATATGTTTGGAAACACAAACCGGACAGTAACAAAATAAAAGCACGAATGTTATGGCTCGTAATTTAATAAAAACATTATATTCTTTATTCAAATATTGTAAATAATCAGCTAGAGCATCTAAAATTGTTTTTTCTTTCTTGTTTTGTCTCATTTTGTTTAAAAWATATAAAATGTTATAAATTAGGTTATCTTTTCTTCCAGCTGCAGAATTCACAAATTATTTAAAATGTATGAAGCAAAAATTAAACTTCTGCAGAAAACCAACAAGAGAAAGGTGGCGTAGACCCCCAGTGTTATTTATCACAACACCCCCCCACCACTACTTTTTAAAATACAGAGTCAGTAAACAAACAACAGGAATGTCTCTGTGACTGAGACACTGAGGCTGTATGTTCGTTTTGACCCCAAATCCATTAAAGACACGGTCAAATGGATGGTATGTAAATATGTGAGTATGTGTGTGTACTTGTAATTCTTGCCTTTTTAGGATTGTTTCTGGTTTACATACCTACCTTGTCTAGACCAGTTGTTCTTATAAGGACCAAAAACCAGTCCTAATATGGTGGAGCTCCATTGTTGGGTCAGGTTTAGGCTGTAGAAATGAATAGAAGTCAATGAATGGACCGTGTGTGTGTGTGTGTGTGTGTGTGTGTGTGTGTGTGTGTGTGTGTGTGTGTG